TATCGATGGCCACTTGCGTAATTACTGAGCCGCTCAAGCGTAGTACATGTGGTGTAAAGGTATGATGGAGTGGGTGCTTGGTAAGAGAACTGAAGGGTGGCATCGACTGTGACTGCTCAGGGGTTAAGTTGCACAAAGTTTCCAGCAAAGACTAGGCGATACACCCCGTCCTGGCAGCTGCTGGGAAATGCAATTCCCCGTTCATTGGCTAATAGCCTCAAAGACTCAAATGATTCTGGCGAAATTTGTGCAATGAGGTAGCCATAAAATGGAGCAACCGGGAAACCTTGCTCTTGCAGAAACTCATTGACGCCAGGCAATTGATCGTTATGTTTCTGAGCAACAAAAACGACCAAGTCTTGCCGAAGCTCACCGCGATCAGTGCCAATGTATGCTTGATCGCACAAGCCCCAGTGGTGTTCGATAGAGCGTCGACAAGCTGATCAACCCATCCAACAATGTCAATATTGCATGCAAGACTATCATTGCTGAGATAGCTGATTACATCAGTACTGCGCCTATCTCCTTTCACTTGTAGACTGAAAGGATTAGTAGTGTCAAATCCGTTGCATACCGGCTGGCAAAGGTCAAGCGATGCTGTATTAAAGGAGTTAGGTATAGCCGTGATTATGGTGCAATCACGAGCAAGGTTACCAACTCGGATGCGCTCATTACTGGACTGTTGGAGTCCGAAAGCAACGGTGTGATGTGTTTTTTGACCGACTTGAACCCGGCCCACGTGACAGGCGATTCTGATATGCTTGGGGAGGTGGGGGTAGTGTTCGCAAATGCCTCTTGCCAGGACTGGCGCAGCAGCATGGTTACTGAAATGTTGTAAACAAACGGTAGGGATGCGTGCATTAACCAGCTTGATGAGGGGCCCAAAATGTTTACCAAGTACAATAGCCAGACAGCACGGATGCTGTTGTCGGTACTTGATAGCAAAATTTACATCCTGAGCGTGGGTAGTGAGCACCCAAAAGTTTTCTGGCAACGTGTCTCTGATGGTACTAGGCGTGGCTGCGAACACAAATACCTGATCAGCTTGCAGCACCTTAGCGTGTGAAGAAACACAAATAAGTGCTTCTCGAAAGGCATCTTCCTTGGTGTCATCAGTCCATTGATCATATTTGAGTGACAAGGACTGGCCAAGGGCCTGCTCCCACTCATGGTCTTCGAGGTTGACCTCATTTGCAACTCAGTACTCTCAACATGTTCTTGTTCTGGATCGGCAGCCGGAGTCCGTGGTATAGGATCAAGTGAGTGAGCCTCAGGCCGAGGGTTGGATTGTGTCTTCGATTGAACCTTTATGGGGCTTGGTTCCACAGGAGCTGTAGGAAGGACCTGTGAGGCTCCATGTGGTGAGACCGTGCCAGAGCAACTCGAGGCAAGGCAGTCTGCGGGTTCTTGGCAGGACGCGACCTTATAGGTATTGGCTGTGGCATTCTCATGTCTCTTAAAGGTCTTGCAGGCTTCACCATAGTAGGTAGTTTTATGGTTAAGCCCATCACACGGGACAGCATCCAACAACTCATCATCACTATCAGGCACAGGAATCTTGAGGAAACAGGTGGAGTGCTGGGGGCACTACCTCCATGCTTCCTAGGGCTATTACGGGCTTTTCCAGAATTGATTCGGGATTTGAAGGCAACCCCAAGCGCCTGAAACACTGCTGCAAACGGCGGGTTCTTGGAGGGCTTGCCACTGACTTGAAAACCAAGTAAGGTGAACAGGGACTTCAGGTGTGTGGCAGCGTTGGCGAGCGGCTCGGGCACCACCGTCGGGAAAACGTCGTAGAAGCAAGTCCAGGGCAGGCGAAAAAGGTGCATGAATGGCTAAGCTAGTGCGCAAAAAGGCGTAAACCGAGGCCGAGCTGCCAAATGGCATGGTCAGCATACGGTAGCACCTCGGGCCATGCATGGGCTCGTACACGCAAATGAATGAGTGTGCCCGGTGCGCAGGCGCAATTGCCAGCTGACGGTATGCGTCTTGAAGGTCGAAGGCGCGTCCACGCCAGGGCACTTCATTGTAGCTGCAACATCTTTTGAGCAAAGCAGCGATGAAATCCGTGTCATGCAAGACGACCTTATTGGCTGAACCGACGGCAGAGTTCAAAAGATTGAACGTAAAGTCGTCAATAGGCCGGCACTTGTCAGACTGCAAAACATAGAAACGCGGGCTGATGACGGAAGTTCTTGGCACGGGGCCAGGAAGGGCCCATCGAGCCAGCCCTGCTTCAACTCCGTAAGCTTCGGTCAACTTGTTGATAGAGCTTTAACCTTTAGCCGCAAAAGTTTTGCTGTGCAAAACTTTAGCCAACTGCATGCATGTGTGTACTTCTTGACCAATGCTTAATTGCAACCCTTGCTATGTGCCATGACAATTTCACTCTATTGCAGCCGACCGGCTCGCAGGGTGGTGTGGGCGGGCGCGTCACATGTCGTGGCGTCGCTCGTCATGGGGGAGTGATGCGTGGATTCAGACGAAGATGGGTTGACAAGAGCGCTGCAAACAGCCGCGACGATAGGAAGCGTGCCAGAACAACAGATTCGGCGTGCAGTGCAGGAGCTCCACGAGTGGACAGATCCCCTTTGATGAGCGCAGCCGGTCATGCTTTTGATGCAGAGGTTAACTTGAGACGTATGTTGCAAGATGCTGTTGTGCGATGTTCTAACCTACGTGAGTGTAAGTTTCCTTGGGAAAGAGGACACTTGAGAAGAATATTCGCAAATACCGATGCCGGGTTGAGCTCCCCTCTTTTCAGCTTGGCAGATCAGATCTTTTGCAACTGCATGTGGCTACAACTTCGAGCGGCAGACCCGAGCCAGAGATATGTGTCCCTGAAAGCGCCAGCTTGGACCTCCTTTTGCGGAAGTGTATTTACAAGGACGTGGTTCGATTCTCTGAACCTTTGAACTATGCTGAGCTGCGTGATGCGGCCCGAATAAAAGCAATTGACGGATGGTGGGACATCATCAGCTGTGACCTTGCTACAAGTGTGGTTGGCAGAATCATCGCGGATGAAGCACCCGACTCGGACCTTGACAGCTACGGCAAGGATGTGTTATCTGCAATGTTCGCGGTTAAGAGTCCGGCAACTTTGAATAAACGGCTGGGTTCGATGAATCAGTTTTTGAAATGGTCACAACTGAACCTCACTGGATGTGTTTTGCCAATTTCCGAACGTGACGCATGGAACTATTTGTGTTCACTGAGAGATTCAGATGCGCCTGCTTCACGAGCCTCGGCCTTCTTGGAAGCGTGTCGCTTTTCATGGTATGTTTTGGGACTGGATGACCTCTCCTATGTTGAGAAAAGTATGAGGCTCAAAGGGTTAGCTGCCCAGTCACTCGCGAAGAGAAGGCCGTGGTCGCCTGCATCGCTGCTTACAGTTGATGAAGTTTTGCGCCTGCATGCCTTCTTGAATGATATTGAGGCGAACCTTGTTGACAGGGTGATTGCAGGACATTTCCTTCACTTGTTGTACAGCAGAAGCAGATGGTCAGATTTGTTCATGGTGGAGAAATTGTACTGTGACGAGGGGCCTGGCTACCTGGAGGTTCAGACGAGATTTCACAAGGGATCAAAGTCTGCTGATAACAAGGCGAAGTTATTGCCAATTGTTGCTCCAAAACTTGGTGTGAACAAGAGCAATTGGGCATCCACTTATTTGTCCGTGCGTGAGCAAGCCGGCCTAAGTGTGCAGATGCTTGAGCCTCAGCCAATGCTCCTTGCTCCAGACGGCAATGAAACAACTGTGTGGGGTGTCAGGCAATTGAGCTCCAAGGAAGGTACTTTCCTGCTCAGAGAGATTTTGAAGGTGCCCAAGACCGAGGAGCGGCGGATTTCAACTCATAGCTTGAAAGCGACTGCCATCAGCTGGTGCTCCAAGTTTGGGGTCAATCCTGACATCAAAGAGATTTTAGCACGACATGCAAATGCAGTCAAGGAGCACCCCTTTGTATTCGCGCGACTTGATCTCACCTGCGTTGCGCATTTTTGATGAGGTTGTGCAGTCCATTGCATCTGGATCTTTCCAGCCTGACGCCAACAGATCCGGGATGTTTTTAAGGGAACAGCGGCGAGTGTGTCGCAAGCTCAGACAACATGTGTGCACGATTCGGATTCCGAGCTCGAAGAACTTGTCAAGCGGGAGGCGAGGACCAATGAATCTGATTTGCAAAGCAATTCCGGGCCTTGGTCAGTTGTTGAGGGCGAAGCAAGTGTTTCCTTGCATGGTGACACCACTCAGCATGACTTTGAGTGCGAAGAGGAATTAAATTCCTACTCCTCGTCAAGCTCCTTCAAACAGCGCAGATGAGAATGCTAGTGATACGGATGAGGAGGGGTACGCCTGGCTTGATGCTTTGGGCGAAACCCAGCAGGGTGAAGATCCTGCTGAGGACCACGAGGTTCATGTTTGTGCTTTGGCTTTGCATGTGCATACGCTCATCCTGCACCGTACACGTGACTCGGAAACCACTGCGTGCGGGCGAACTTTGTCCTCCAATTTTGTGCAAGGAAACCAGCTTACAGGTGTGCGTTGCAGCGTTTGCTTCAAGACTGAGCTTTCACGGTGATCGTGGAGATTGTTACCCAACTGATGTTGGGCAGACGTCTGAAATGGCGTCAGGTGACTTGAGTCACGGGCTGAAATGCCCGCCCGTGAGGGCTGCAACGGAGTGGTGATCTGAAAGGGTTACAGATGCCAAGTCTGATGAATCAGACAGAGCCAGGAAGAGACTGGCTGTGTAGTGAAAGGAAAGAATTGTGGCTGACCTTATTGCCTTGTTTGATGCTTTGCTAGGCATGTACCCTGTCAGCCAGACACTGTGTGACGAATCACTGAACCTGAAGGTTCTGTACGCTTGATGTCTGAAATGGCTCAAGTGCAAGATTTTTTTTTGGTGACTGTTTGCTTTTGTTCACTTCCATTTCTGTTTGAGTGAATCTTGCATGAACACGAGCTGTGTTTCAACCTGAGGACGACATCTGGCGCCATGGCCTCAGCAGTGGACAGTACGGCCTTTTTTGCTCAGAGACGCAAAGAGTATGCAATCCCACAAGAGCTGATTGATCGTTTGGAGGCGCAAGGAGTCACGACAATGGGGCATCTGGCATTCAGTTTAGGACGTCCGGGTCAAGATGTCGATGATGCAGATTTTGTGCGGTGGATCACTAGGATCAACAACAATGTTGAACCTCCCCAAGGTCCACTTGCGTCTGCACGAAGGCTTCATTTTGAAGCCGAGGTTGTGGTCACTGCATCCCTGAAGGCGTCCATCGAAGGTGCTTCAGATAGCCAGCCCAAGAAGATTACTTATGCCGAGAAATCATCCAGGATGCAGCAAGTGAAGCGCGAGCTGCAAGGTGCCGTTGTGGAAGGCGTTCTGGAGCCCAGTGATGAGGTGCTTGAGATTTGCGTGCATCAGTATGAGACACGGACCTTGCAATATGTTGAAGCAGCAAAGTGCACATCACGCGACATGGAACTCACTGGAAAAGCAGCTACGGTTGGATTCGAATACGCTGACTGTGAAGGAGAGCAAGGAGTGCCCTGATGCTGACTGCTCATCAGCCTTCCTGGCACAGCAGTGCCTGAAAAGGCGCGGAGTGGCGTACCATTTTGCACGTCTTATCAACTTCGAGGCTCACGAACGTTATCTTTCCAAGCTGTTCATGCACCTCACCGAAGTGCCTCCGCCGGGCTACAGCAGTGCTTCGTTGACGCAAATATTGAGAGCTGATCGGGCAGTTTTTGCACATGTGTGCCAGAATGTGAGTGACATCCGGCCAACAGCAACTGGAGAGTTGCCACTGGATACAGCCATCATGAACGGTCTGAAGTCTGACAATGAGGCCAGCCGTGAGTCGAGAAAGGCTAGCCGATCCGCATGGAGTGACCAATTCGACAAAAAAAAGGGCACTCCAAGGGTACCAGTTTTGCCCCGAAGGTGTTGCCAGGATGCTCCGGCAGGGACGCAAAGGGACGATGCATCTGTTTCGATTACAACATCAACGGGTGCCCGCACGCACCGGCAGGAGGCGCCTGCCGCAAAGGCAGGCACATCTGTGCAAAGGTGGGTTGCAACAAGGTGCATGCATTTTTCGAGGTGCACAAGGACGACAAGCCATCGGACTCGTGACCTTGAGTACCGTATGCATTGACGAACTTTGTGTCATTGAGATTTTTGCAGGAACCGGAGGAGTCTCAGCCGCACTCTGCAAAGTAGGCTTTGGTGCGGGTGTGGCCATCGATAAATTTATCCCAAAGTGCCCTTTGGCAACGATTGCAAAAATTGACTTGACCGATGATGCTTCGCAAGAGCTAGTTTTGACATGGTTGGCGGACCCGCTAGCCTGGGCGCCTTCATGGCCCCTCCGTGTGGCACATCCAGCAAGGCTCGATGCATCCAACGTGTGGGAGAGAACCTCCCAAAGCCGCTTCGCACTTCCCTGCAGCCTGATGGCGTGCCTGGTTTATCAGGTGCCGACTTTGCACGTGTGTCAGCCGCAAATTGCCTGTACGACTTTGCGGCATGTGTCATGCAGAAATGCCTTGAACTAGATAAGATTTACATCGTCGAGAATCCTAGGTCCAGCCTATTTCGGGAAACCACTCCCATCCGACGCCTGACTGCCTGAAAGAAAATTGCGACAAGACCATCACATGCATTTTCAAACTCACCGGTTGGCTTTTTGCAGAAGAGGGCAGAAAATGCATGCCCTATAGCCCTGCTTGTGAAGCACTTGGGGTGGTCTTTGATTTTGCGTTGTCGTCTGAGGGCATTGTCCAAGTAAGCAATACGGCAGCTCGAGTAGATGAACTTGTGGCAGAGCTTGAGTGTGTTGCTGCTGAAGGAAAGCTAAGCCAGAAGCGTGCCAAAGACTCAGGGGTCGCATGCTTTTTGCGGATGCTCAGATTTTCGGCAGAACGGGCAAGCGATGCATGGCAGTTCTTGGTGCTGCAGCTGTGGGTACCACGAGTGTGCTGTCCGAACATGCTAAATACCAACTACAGATGTTTGTCATCCTTCTGAGGTCCAATGCCCCAAGAAGAATTGGACTCGGCTCTGACAGGGTTTTCTTGGCACGATTGCAAACTTCTTTTCGTATGAGCTGTGTGATAAAGCGAAGGACTTGCTTGGAGTAGCCGACAAGAAGCAGTGCATTTATGAAGCAGAAACCCTTGCTGCAACTGTGGCCTTTCATTTGTGGGGCCCTTGCATTCAAGAATGCGTGATTTTCGTGGACAACGAAGCCACTAAGTTTGCACTCATTTCCGCACAAGGTGCCAATGATGTGGTAAGCTCCCTAACTAATAAATTTGCCTTGTGTGAAGCCGAACAACAAATCCAGTCCTGGATTGCAAGGGTGGCATCGAAAAGCAACATTGCAGATGATCCGTCGCGAGGAGTGTGCCAACCTCTGTTATCCATGGGTGCGTGTGACGATTCCGGTGTTGTGCCGGACCTTACCATGAACCTGCTGAAAAGACCGGACAACCCTCAGCTTACTTCTAAGGGGGAGACGGGCTGAGGTTTTTGTGTGCGAGCAACAACGGTAGTGAACACCCCGAGGAGAAACAGTGCTGAGCTTTTCCGTTTGGTTTTTGTCCTCACTGTTTCTTACACGCTTTGCAGTTGGCGGTGTGGCTCGAGGTTAAGCTTCGGTCAACTTGTTGATAGAGCTTTAACCTTTAGCCGCAAAAGTTTTGCTGTGCAAAACTTTAGCCAACTGCATGCATGTGTGTACTTCTTGACCAATGCTTAATTGCAACCCTTGCTATGTGCCATGACAATTTCACTCTAGCTCGCAGGGTGGTGTGGGCGGGTGCGTCACATGTCGTGGCGTCGCTCATCCCACCTCTCCCGCCCGAGCTTGCCATTCTTGATCCTTCCTATACAGACAACTTGCGATATTTGGCACCGGCCGGGTGCCCCGTGCTTACTTGATGTGTGTGTCGCCCAGCCAGTGGGCCACGATCCAGATAACTCTTGCGGTGGCGGCGCCCGCTGTGCCTGTGTCGTAGCAGCAGCCTAGCCCTCAGCCTAAGACGGGCTGAGGTTTTTGTGTGCGAGCAACAACGGTAGTGAACACCCCGAGGAGAAACAGTGCTGAGCTTTTCCGTTTGGTTTTTGTCCTCACTGTTTCTTACACGCTTTGCAGTTGGCGGTGTGGCTCGAGGTTAAGAGTAGTGTCAAAAAGTGCCTGGTCAGCTGCTGGATCATCTGTAGGCCGACAACGTGCCAAGGCTCGTGCCTGCAAAGCTGGGGCCATGCGCTCTAAGGAGGCAATGTCCACCGCAGGTGGTTGTGGATGCCTGGGCAGCTCCATTGACTCAGGTAGCCACCCAAACAATGGGCAAGCTCGTCAGCGATGGCTGTGTCCTGATAACCAACTGACTGCAAGGCGTGCTTGAGCAGTACAGTACGCTTGCGTTGATGCGAGCAACATGCGCATCGCACAAGGCTTCTGACGCGGAGCAAACTCTTCGGCCAGCTGAAGCAGGGATTTGAGCCTCACTGCCCACAAGGACAGGGCATCATGTGTGGTACATGTTGCAACGAAATTGACGGCCTCCTCCAGAAATCGGCCACCAGGGTACAGAGAGCACCGCACTAGACAGGTTCCGGAACCTGCATTTCAGGGAGCTTGTGGTGCCAACGCGATTGCTTGGTTGTGGCTTGCAATAGGTCCGACTGACAGATATCGTGTTATGAGACATGACTCTTTCAGAATGCAATTTGCTTTTAGCCTTCAATCAAATCCTGTTGTACGCCAATTGCATTACCTCGCAGGCGGCAAGTGCAATCCAGACATACCAGTGATCAAATCGTGCCTGAAGAAGACCAAGTCAGATGCAAATGACAGGGATCTTGCAGCCTCGGCTCTTGACACAGTGGGCAGGATACACACTGACTCGACTACATCCAAAACATCTAATCGCCATAAGAAAAGATGTGTGGCAGGTGGCAAGAGTCACCTACCAGGAAGACTTGCTACTAGTCCACACCTTTCTCATGAGAGAATCAAGTCGTTTTTCTCGCCTTCCAACCTCACGCAAGCAGTTTCCGGGGCCTTCGAGGTGGCAAACACCGAGGCCAGAATCCAACTCCTGGCTTCTAGCTTGCAAGAGCTTTTGACAAGCCATTCCCTCTCACCCAAGGAGGCTCGCAGGTTGAGAGGCCGCATGCAGTTTGCCCATGGTCAAATATCGGGACGATACCACTCGCGATGCCTCTCATCTTTACATGAGCTTTCTGCCCTGGCACCGGGCTCTCGAGCCCCTCCATCACTTGTGAGGATTTTACAGCGCTGTTTGCAGTCTCTTGTCCATTCCATGCCAAGAGCAGTCAGCAGCAAGGACCGCCTCGTTTGGCATATTTTCACAGATGGTGCCTTGGAGGCTTCCAAGCCCTCCATAGGAGGCGTCCTCGTGGACTTCTTTGGGCAACCCCGCTTTCATCTTGTGAGCCCCCGGCTCTTTCAGTTCTTGCGACCTTTGGATCTCACTGCATTTTGCACCTCGAGATCCTTCCCATTTTGGTGGCACTTCACCTCTGGCCAGACCTGCTCTCAGGCACGGCCATTTTCTTTCATGTGGACAACGAAGCTGCGCTTCATTCTCTCGTTCGCATGTCCTGCAACAACCATGCGGCCGACCAGCTTGTCCAACACTTCCTACGCCTTGAGCAACGGATGACCTTCGATCCGTGGATCCACCGGGTCCCTACCGAGGTGAATGTTGCCGACGCCCCCAGTCGAGGCGATGAAACTCAGTTACTTTTCTTTCGATCCCAGAAGTCCCACGTTACACCAACCATTTGGAACAGTCTATGGAGCGAGCTGCAGCTGTAAAATTTGCTTGCTCTTGTACCGTTTCGTTTCCTACGCATGTAGTGCACATAGTGCCCATTCATGCCTTTCCTCACATGTATTCGTTGCCACTTCAGTCCGCTTGTGCCGCCTCAGGTTGCTGCACGTCGAGCACTCAGTTTACAGGGGGTGCGTGCGAGTTCTCGACATGGGGCGCTTGCCTGCCCTCACCCCCTGTGGCCTTCTTGAAAGACCCCCTCTTTCCGGGTGTGAACCCTTTTCTCCTTTTGGGGGTCCCCCCCTTTCTCTAAGAAGGACCTTTCCTTACCTTTGATGCTCTACCCCGTGTGCTGAAAAGGAGTGCTTGCGCTCAGGGTTCCTTTGGTAAGTATTTTTGAGAGACTCAAGCTGCTTAAGGGCACCAGGTATAAGGATTGCTAGTGCTTGCACTCGCTGCGTTATACTGGTGCCCTTAACTGTTGAGTTGCAGCTTGAGGCTTTCCTTCCAATTTCAGGGCCTTAGATTTTTCTCCCACCCACCCACCCAGGTTGGACGAGTGAGTGGCTATGCTTGCCACGTGGCCTTCTTGGGGGACCCCCCTCTTTCCGGGTGTGAACCCTTTTCTCCTTTTGGGGGTCCCCCCCTTTCTCTAAGAAGGACCTTTCCTTACCTTTGATGCTCTACCCCGTGTGCTGAAAAGGAGTGCTTGCGCTCAGGGTTCCTTTGGTAAGTATTTTTGAGAGACTCAAGCTGCTTAAGGGCACCAGGTATAAACCGGGGCAATCCTGTTGCCGGCGCGGCGGTGCGTTCATCCTGCCGGCCTCCGGTAGTCTCTGCCGTGGCGGGCGGGCTGGCGCCTGTGGGTTTTAAACAACTCGCGCCTACACAGCTGCCTCTATTTTGGCGCGTTCACTTGCGTCGCCGCTTGCCGGGGCGTGTAAGAAAACACACCAAGAGTGTTCAGCGATGGCGCCTGTGCGCCGGCCTGAGAAGAAGTGTCCGCACGACGTCGGTGTCGCGACTGCGGCGGGTCGTCGGTCTGTGAGCACGGGCGACAGCGGCACCTGTGTCGCGATTGCGGCGGCGCGGCGGTCTGCGAGCATGCGCGGCTGCGGCATCAGTGCCGCGAATGCGGCGGCGCGTCGGTCTGCGGACACGGGCGACTGCGGTACCAGTGCTGCGACTGCGGCGGCGCGGCGGTCTGCGGACACGGGCGACTGCACCGGTGCCGCGACTGCACCTGTTTTGTATGTCAAATTGAGGGCTGTCCTCGGCAAGATCTCCCCTTCGCCGGAGCGCCGTGCTTGCTGCGACATATGCAAACGATGCACGGCGACAACCCGCGCGCAGTGACCAAGAGTAAGGAGCTTGAGGTGCACCAAGCACTCCGCGACGCGCAGATCACATTCGAGTACCAGCACTACCTGCCCTTCCGCGGCTGTGGGTTGGAGTCGGAGACGGTGCACGCCTTCGCGGACTTTGCCCTGCCAACCCCGTGAAACTACGTCCTGCTGGAGGTTGACGAGGAGCAGCGCAAGGCGTACGACCCCAGCTGCGACGTGCGCAGGAACTTCGACATGGCCGCCAGCGTGGCGCTCGGCAGGCCACAAGCTGCTGGTGCTGCGCTACAACCCGGACGCCTTCAAAGATCGCCGGCGTGACGCGGCGGACCACCAAGAAGGAGCGCCGCGCGCAGCTGATTCGCCTGCTGGGCGAGCTGCTGGCGCGCGAGCCGGAAGCGCCGTTCACCCGCTTCTTTCTCTTCTACGACCGGGACGCGGAGAACAGCGCGCTGCCCTGTGTGGCGGAGCACTCGTCCGAGCCC